ATTTAATAACAAAATTTTCTAATCCTCCTTTCCAAATCACTGTTTACAATTTACATCCAGTTTCCTGGAGCTGAGGTTGCGCAGTGGTTAGGGTGCAGTAGTGCAGGCCACTTCAGCTGACTGTTATCTGCAGTTCAGCAGTTCAAATCTCACTGGCTCAAGGTTGACTCAGCCTTCCATCCTTCCGAGGAGGGGGAAATGAGGACCCAGACTGTGGGGGCAATATGCTGACTCTGTAAACCGCTTAGAGAGGGCTGAAAGCCCTATGAAGCGGTATATAAGTCTAACCGCTATTGCCACTCCATCAGGATTTCCAGCTAGCCAGGTCCAGGAGAACAGCCTTTTCTGCTGCAGCTCCCATCCTCTGGACCATTATATCCCTTGAAATGATGTTCATCCCAACCCTTTTGACCTTGCATAAGAGCCTCGAGACTTAGCTCCAGTTAGCCTGGAGCCCAGATGACATTGTGTCCTGGAAGTGGTTACTGGATTAAATACAAGTTCCTACCCACCCTCCATTGTATGCCCTCCCCATCTTAGCTACTTTCCATTAATTTTAATGTTATATTTATTGTTCTACTATTTTTTAATCTTTTATAATATTTTTATCAGCTTTTAAGTCACCCGAAGTTGTGTGACTGTATATACATTTAATAAATAAATGGATATTTGGGAACAATCCAATCATGGGTAAAGGTATCAAGATGGTATGGGAGAGACTATTATTGTTGCATTTTTCCTATAGGAAGGCATGAAAAAGTAATTAGAATAGCTGGCGCCTATATCACATTTACTCAGATTTACAATTATGGTTAATTCAATAGGCTTATTTAATTATGCCTATTGCATAAGTGTCAAACTCAATTGCGTCATGTGACGTATCGTGATGTGTTTTGCCTTCGCAGAGCCGGGCAGGCAGAACCTGCGCATGACACATCGAGCCCACGGGCTGCCAATTTGACAGGCATGGACTCTATTGAATATTTATGAATATATTAGGAAGAAATTAGTGGGCTCACTAGTGTTAAGAGATTTGTGTTTAAAATGTAATACTGGTTTTCTGTTGATCCTATGCTACCGCAATTCCCTTTGGGGCATGCCGAAATTTATTTATTATTTTAAAAAGTCCATTATTTTAAATACCTATCTGGAAACTAATAGATCAATTCATGTTTGAATTGTTACTATATACACACACACGCCATTGTCTGTCAATTATAAAATCTTCTGAAGAAGTATTTTTTCTCTGAATAAACTTTTTATTTAAAAATATTTAAAAGAGAACAACTAGAGAAGACGCATGAAACAATAACATTTCCAGAGGAATAAAATTCCTTTGTGAATAAAATTCAAGAGGAAAGAAGAAAACAACACAATACTTTTCCTCGATATCTTCATCAGCAGAGGAAATGGTAGCAAATTAGAAACACAAGTCTATAAAAAAAAATCACTCACTTTAACCGAGTTATAGGAATAGAAATCAAAATGTCTGAGCAAATATAGAATTCTTCACCTGCTACCTAATGGCTATTCACCTTGCTCCTTCTTTCTTTCTAAGGTGTTTACTTCTTTAGTTGGGATAAATTATATAAAAGAACTTTCTTAGGTGACTTCATGTCTCAATTCTGGCACAAAGTGAAAAGTAATCTAGAAATAGCCCGCCATTAATAAATTAC